CATGACACTCGTGATCTTCCTTCTCTTCTTCATTCACAGAGCTCTCAATTCTGGAAAGACAAACAAATGGATAGAGGTACGATACACCTTGACAGAAGTTGTCGGAATGACTCGTAATAAGATATTAGTAAAACGTAGAATAAAACCGGACCTTTCTAGATCAAAACCTCCAATTCCAAGAACATAATCCAAGTCAACCTTCCCATACTTTGTCTGCTTCATGTGAGCCATGCTGTTTATGGTCTGAAGATAACCAGAGAGCAAATATGTTAACGCAGAGCAAAGAAGTTAAATTAGATGTAGAAAGAGAAAAAAAGTCAGAAGAAGCAGAACTTACCATTATCCGCTGCATCAGTGAACCTAGTTCTGGCTCACCAACAAGATCAGTCTGCAACAAAGTACAACCTTTTTCAGCTTGCACGATATGTCGAGGAAGAACATTACATAGAGAAGTGTCTACCACAAGCCTCCACCTCATTTTTTTTTATGATGATGCTAACCATGGAAATTTGGTTGAAACAGAAGTTCAAATACCTTGTTAACTATGATACGATCTGCGTAAGCAATTTGTTCAACCGCCTCATTGACATAACCTTCGGGTTTGACCACATCTAGATGCAAACGAACATGTTTAGCATCAACGAGGGTGACAACCCCGTCAAGTTTTACATCATTGAAAATTTCATCCTCAGCATAAAACGTTTGAATAATCGGAGCTGGATTCGCCAATCCTGAAAACGAAAAAGTTTACATAATATACTCATTACTCACTTGCAGAGCTCAATTAAACTGAATTAAAAGACACAAAAGACTGATTAAAATATCACCCACCTGTTGTCTCAATTACAATATGGTCGAACCTTCCTTTCTTCTTCTTGACCAATTCAGAAATCATCCTCACAAGATCACCCCTAACAGTACAACAAAGACAGCCATTGTTAAGCATTATTATATCCTCTGCTCCAGAAGTTTTAGCTGCCACAAGCGATCCATCAATGTCCACTTCACCAAACTGAGAATTCACATTTCACACGAATTAGAAAATCACAATTCCAAAAGAACCATTTCTCATTCAGACACAAAGATTTAATACAATACCTCATTTTCAATCACAGCTATGCGCTTCCCATGATCTCCCGTCAATATATGATTTAGCAATGTCGTCTATACACACGCAGGAAAAACAAAACCACTCAAAATTGAAAAGCTTTTCCAATACTTGAGAAGGAGTTTCCGAATCGTCGAATTAAAACAAGAAGCCTCACCTTACCAGAACCCAGGAAGCCAGTGATTATAGTGACCGGAATTCGATTGTCGGGAGAAATCTCAGTGGAAACATCGAAGGAATCATCGGTCTCGACAACAGCCAGCGCGGAAGAAGAAGCGGAGGCAAAGGCGGAGGAGAATTTCCGACGGCTGTCAGAGTAAACCGCCGCGGAATTGAACGGAGACGGCTTCGTTCTGACGGAAACTGTGGCTATCCTGCGACTAGCAGAAGCGAATCGATGGTTCGACGCCGTGTCGGCACATGGAACGTTGAAAGCAAGGAACTTTGTGGCTATGTCGAGTCTTAACAGAGTTGCCATTGTGATTATTAGGGTTTAAGGTATTCGTGAAGGTTCGACGCAGATAAAACATTGGCTTTGTCACTTCAGGTATTAAGGTTTTTTCCGGTTGGATCCAACGGTCGAGATTGACTCGGGCTTTTCCCTCGTTTTTACACGAGTATGATCTTCGGACAGGAAACTCCAACAAAACAGAAGAGGCCACGTAAACCCATAAAGCCCATATCACAATTTCTTGGAAGATTATCTAAAATTTAAACCCATACTATAACTTACAAGTTGTTTTTACAGTTTACTGCATTTTCGATTTATATTTTTAAAATTTTGATAAAAGTTATAAAAGCCTCGAATTTAAAGGTATCAAAAGCTCATGTAAAAAGAAGGGAATTCAAAATTTATCAGAATCACGGGTTACTTGACTTTTAAACAAAACAAAAATAAATATATACCAAAGACATTTATTAATATGTTTCAAAAAAGAAGAAGATATTTAGATACAAGACGTGAAGAAGAGCATAATCCTGAATCTAGTCATTATAACAATTAATTAACAAACACTAATAATACTATGGCGATAATTTCTGATATCAGTTTTGATTATAAGTTTGTTAGCAATTCAAGTAATACCAAATGGAAGATTCTTTTTTTTTTTTGGTCGTCACCAAATGGAAGATAAGTTGATTGACATCCGATTTTACTTTTTATTCGATTAAAATTGTTTCTAAAAGAAGAAATAACAAATTTCTAGTTACTGTATCGATATTGGTGGTAGTCTGGTAGGTATGCTGATTTTCTTATTCATGCAAATCCAAATGTTACTGTTAATCATTTCATTTCATAAAGTCTTCTGAAAAAAAAAAAGTGGC